GAGACTCTCTCTGTCTGCCTATAATATAGTAAAGCCTTTAGATCTCCAGAATCATGTTTCATTTTTCCTAACTTAAGAAACTATTTTTCTATTATACTTTTTATTATTGTTTTTGTTTCATTTAATATTTTGCCCCAGGAATATTTATTATCTTTAGACCACCTTTGCTCTCTTCCTTCAACACCTATTACACACACTTTCATAATTTTGGTTTTTAATGTTTTATTCACCATGGAATGAGGAGTGCTCTGCCTAAGCCTGGTTTTGATAAACAGACAAGGCTTGTATTGTTGCTTTTGCCTATTTCCCCATCAATTAAGAAAGGAATGGAATCCTTTAGCCCAGATTTGGATGATGATGAGGCTTCTCTCTAATGTGGCATTGCCCTTTTCTCCTGGTCCCATTTGTTATATAGAAGGAAGTTGATAGTAAGATTGGCACATTCTGAGGAGCCTATAATTGTTCATTGACCACAGGTAGTTTATAGAAATTTGTTTCTTCCTCGCTTGTCCTTGCTGAGGGCCCCCTTTTTCTCCTTTTCTTCTTAATCAATCTCTTTGAAAAACTAGTAAATTTTAAATAACTTCATCTCTTCATCTTATCTCCAATTAACCTCCTGCATGTGGCTTCTGCTTCCACTATTCCACCAAAATGGTCCTTGTAGAATTTGACATTGACCTCCCAACTCTTAAATCCCACAGATACATCTTCAGTCTTTTCTTAACTTGACCTCTTTGTGGCATTCCGCACTGTCGATGGCCCTCTCCTCCAGAAAATTCTTTTATCCCTTGAACACCATAACTCCCATCTTCCCTGATGATGACCCTAGTCATCAGATGACCCTTTGACTTTACCAGCCTCCCCTCATCTGCCTAGCATGTCAATATAAACTTGCCTTCCTATCTTCTGTCTTGTTTTTTAAGTCTCCCTGAGAACCTCACTTGTGACCGATGTTTCAGCTGACTTCTTCTTTGCTTATGAATCCCAAACCTGTATCTAATTATGACCTGTCTTCTGAATTCCTGCCTATATTTCTGATGACTTCCAAGCACATCCAACTATATTTCCCAAACTCAACTTTTGAGGAGTCTTTCGTTTCTTTGAAAATATGATGAAAAAGTTCCCCCTACCAAATGCACATATGCACAACATTCTGCATATAATTTCAGGGAGTTTGTGGGCTGCCGAAACCCATGTATGCCTTGGGGATCTATGGGCTCCAAGTTCCTAACTCTTGGGCTGGAATAAACAGGATCAAGTCCAGATGCCCTAGCTTGGAATCAGAGACTCTTCCATCTCATACTATCACATGGCCATTGGTTATCAGTTTGTTCTTGCTCAGATCCACTGTGCTCTGGAGCATATAACTTATGCTAGATCATAATTTTTATACACATTTGCTCTGGTTTAGGCCGTTNGCAAAGAAATGAGTTCTATTTCTTAAATTGTGGTAAAATACACATAATAGAAAATTTACCATCTTAACTATTTAAATAACCAATAAGCAAATTCACTTAACCATTTAGTAAATTCACATTGTTGTGCTATCATCACCACCATTCATCCACAGAACTCTTCATCTTGCAAAACTGACACTGCACCCATTAAACACTAACGGCCCAGTCCCCGCTCCCTGCAGTCCCTAGCAACCACCTTTCTTTCTGTATCTATGATTCTGACTATTCTAAGTACTTATGTAAGTGGAATTTTACAATAATTGTCCTTTTGAGACTGGCTTATTTCACTTAGCGTGATGGCCTTAAGGTTTATCCATGTTGTTCAGAATTTCCTTCTTAAGACTGAATAATATTCTATTGTATGTATAGACCACATTTTGTTGATCCATTCAATCCACTGATGGACACCTGGGTTGCTTCCACCTTCTGGCTATGTAAATAATAATGTTGCTATGAACATGGATGTACAAATATCTCTTTAAGTCTCTGCTTTCCGTTCTTTGGGATATATACCCAGAAGTGGAATTGCTGGATCTTATGGTAATTCTCTGTTTAATATTTTGAGGAATTGCTATACTGTTTTCCACAGTGGCTACACCATGTTACATTCCCATCAGCAGGGCACATGGGTTCCAATTTCTCCATTTCCCACCAACACTTGTTATTTTCCATTTTTTACAGTAGCCATCCTCATGGGTGTGAGCTGTTATCTCACTGTGTTCTGATTTGCATTTCCTGAATGATTAATGATGTGAAGCATCTTCTTCATGTGCTTATTGGCCAGCTGCTTATCTTCTTTGGAGAAATGTCTATTCCATTCCTTTGCCCATTTTTTAACAAGGTTGTTTATTTTTTGTTGTTGAGTTGTAGGAGTTCTTTATATATTCTGTATTCTGGATATTAACTCCTTATCAGATAATAATCTGCAAATAGTTTCTGCCATTCTGTGGGTTGCCCTTTCACTCTATTTTGTCCTTTGATGCACGGAAATTTTTTAATATTAATATTGTCAGATTTATCTATTTTTTTTTTTTTTGCTTGTGCTTTGGATGTCAAATCCAATAAATCATTAATGACATTAAATCCCATGTCATGGAGCTTTTCCCCTATGTTTCCTTCCAATAGTGTTACAGTTTCAACTCTTACATTTAGGCCTTTGATC